TCTACGCACACCCTGTTGCGAGGTTCGAGATCAACTTCTCTCTTCCACTCGTCATGAGGGCCAAGGAGGAAGGCAGGAAAGGACTGAGCTTCGGCGTCGGCATCGAGTTCTTGTAGACACAGATCCAGATGTGTAAATGTGTATTTGTAGGCCGTATAGACTTTCTTCTCGAGCAAGCAGATCACTTCTTTCTCAACCATTCTCATGTTCATATGTCTCGCATTCAGTTCAAAAGTCTACCCCTACAACTAAAAGATCTAACTCCCTACCAACTGCGGCCCCTCGAACACCTTCTGCGGATCATACACCCCCTTAATCCCCACCAACCTCTCATAATGCTCCCCCCAATACCTCGAATGCGCATCCGCCTTAGTAAGATTCGTATCCGCATAATTGATATACATGCCAAACTGCTCGCCCTCACTCGCCTTTTCAATCGCATCGACCCAGCCATTCAAGAACTCCATCATCTTAGGCGTGTACGTCGCGCTGTCGGGGAAAATGCGGTCATTGAACTGCATCTTGAAGACGGCGTTGCGGTGCGAGTACGACGTCTCGTCCGCGGGTACTTTGGAGATGGCAGAGCCGGAGCCGCCGTGCATGTCGATGAGGAGGTACCAGGATCGGCCACGGATGTTGCGCGCGGTGGTGAAGTAGTAGTCTGCGAGGGCGGTCATGGCAGCGGGGGAGAGGTATTCCGGCATCAGTGACTTGGCGTAGAAGTTCTCGTGGTAGTCGTATATTTCGGGTTGGGGCAACGGGCCATTGGAAAAGGACGTCAAAGTATCGATCCATTTCTTCGTTGAGACGGTGCCGGCGCCGCGTCCCTCAAGAGGGATGTTGAGTTTGGTAAGCAGCGGGTTCATGATGGTGTCGAAGGCGCTGCGGTTGCCGTAGTATACACCGGTTAGTTGGTTGGGGAGGAACATGCGCATGTTTAGCTCTGGGGGTTGGTCGTGGATGGTGAAGTTTTGGAGGACGGTCAGGATGTTGGCGAGTTGCGATGTGTTGGATGGGGAGAGGTTGTAGGAGAATACGAGGTTGCTCTCCGGTGCGTTGAAAGTCTTGAATTTGAAGTCGGTGACGATGCCGAAGGCGGCGCCGGCGCCTCGTAGGGCCCAGAAGAGGTCTGGGTACGAGGTTGGTGAGGCGGTTACCACGCTGCTGTTGTGGAGGACCACGGTCGCGGAGACAAGTTGGTCGAGAGTCAGGCCGTGCAGGCGAGAGGACATGCCATAGCCTCCGTGAAGAGTGAGACCACTTACACCGACGCTGATGAGTGTTAGTACATATATGATGTTGTTGATGAGGATGGATACCTACCCAGGACATGTTCCGTGACTGATGGCTTGCTTGCCTTGGTCGTAAAGAGCCAAAGCAATGTTGCCCAGTCTACCGCCAGCTCCCACGACAGCTGTGTGTGCTTCTTGGTCAACGGTGACACTGTTAAAGCGGCGCATGTCGACGATCAAATGTCCATCTTCGCCTCCAAGACCATGTGATCCGTAGCTGTGGCCTCCGCACTTGGGAGTGACTTGAACACCGCTCTCAACTCCGCAAGACACAGCATCTTGGACATGTTTGACGGTCTGTGGAACGACGTAGGAAGCCGGTTTGAATGGTAAACGAAGATTGAAGGGCTTGACTGCCTGAGTATAGTTCTTGGTGCCTGCAGCATATACAGGAACTTGGCGAGACTCAAGACATTCGCTCAATGTGGAATTCGCAGCGGTAGTGCAAGAAATGAGAGCGAAGGCTGCAAAGAGCCATGTGTAGTGTTCTTTCATCATTCTGGAAGTCGGAAAGTGGCTTGGCTGCCCAGGAAAAGTTCATCCGCTAACGTCCTCGCGATACTTATGGATTGCTTGAATCCTAGAGGTGGATTCTGATCATGAGATACATATTGACCCAATACACTACGGCTGAAGACCCAGAAAACATGTCTGACCAGGAGACATGACTGCGATGAAGGGGTGAGAATGCCCAGAGTGAAAACCTTGCTCTTTCCTTGGATTCTTCGTCGGAACCGTGGAGATTCCAAGAGGATTCGGTACTGGTAATAACAGATCTTGCCTCTATCGCACGACAACTTCCAAGCTACGGCTATACCAAGAAGCGGTGGCTTCAGCTTGATTTACCTCTTGGCAAAGATTGGTCGCAGGAAGATTAAGAGATGCCACCTCGTCTATACCCACACACGTGGCCAGGTGCGCTGCAGCCGCATCCACGTACCGACGTAGGGCAGCGGCGTGGCGGCTGCATTCCCGGTATAAGGCCTGGCCAAGAGATCTTAACATGCGCGTGCCCGAGATGAAAGACCGAAATGCAAGGCTACTGCAATTTCGCCATGTTGATCAACCTGGGGTCGGCAACCGGCTGAAACGTTGTACCCCTGCTCGAAACATGGCTGTAGATTGCTATATATTGTCCGACGTGCGGCCTTTAACCGGCTTGGACATTCGCATACTCACCGAGGCTGAAGTGGCACCCTCGCTTTCAGCAAAACGCATGATGGAGTCGGTTGTTTAGTCCAAGAGGGTGTAGTCAGGTGTTTCATCGTCGTAGCTCCGAAATGTCGAGTGCGGGCGCGTGACGCGAGGCGGTCTGGTGGAAATGTCAAAGAACACACGTCGAACATACAAAACGATGCTACTTCCCTGTGCTTCAAAGCCAGTGACAGATACATCCTGACTCGCAAACCATAATCATCATGGTCCATTCGCATTCACTCCTTCTACCGCTGTTCGGCACGGCCGCAAGTGCTGCAAACTTGTGGGCGACGCACTACTCCGGCACCATCAACTACCTGTCGTTCAACAGCAATGCCTTGACTCTCAGTAGTTCAGCCTCTACTGGCAACAAGCTGCCTAGTTGGATTACGTATGACAGTGCTGGAAAGGCGCTCTACATTCCGGATGAGGTCTTCCAGGGCCAAGGAGGCGGAAACTTGGTGTCCTTCTCCACGGGTGCGAACGGCAACGTGACATCCATCGGAAAGGGCTCTACACCTCAGGGTGTGGTTGCGACAACGCTCTATGGTGGTCCGGATGGAAGAAGCTTCATCGCCAATGCCCACTAGTAAGTCAGCAGCCTGAGAACACACGAATGTTGCTAATCGACCGAAGCCAAACTTCGCAGTTGACAACCTTCAAGCTGCCATTGAATGGCGGACAGCCGCTTCAGACAATCAAGTACACTGGCAAAAGCGTCAACCCTTACCGACAAGAAGCTCCTCACCCGCATCATGCTTTTGTGGACCCGTCTGGCGACTTCTTGATCGTACCTGATCTCGGAACCGATAAGATCAGAATCAACAAGATTGACCAGACAACTGGCAATCTCACAGAATGCGGTGCTGCTTTGCCGCCACCTGGAACAGGACCAAGGCACGGCGCCTTCTGGGCGCCGGCAGGAGCGAACTCGCGCGTTCGCAGAGCTGCAGACGGCACCGTCCTCTTCATCGCCAACGAGCTCTCAAACAGCGTGTCGGCATGGGCGGTGTCATACCCTGCATCGGGAGGCTGCATGTCTCTGACCCTGAAGCAGACGCTCACACCGTACCAAGGCAACGCCACCGCCGTCTCTGGTACCAAGGTCGGTGAGATCAAGGTCAAGGGAAACTTCGTTTACACCAGCAACCGAAACGACAAGAAATTCAAGCCTAACGACTCAATCACCCAGTTCAGCATCTCTCCTAACGGAAGCCTGACATGGACTGCCCTCACATCGTCCTACGGCACATACCCGCGTACTTTCGACATCAACAAGGCCGGTGACTTCGTCGCCATTGGCGACCAAACTACTTCGAACGTAGCTATCGTACCAAGAGATCCGGCGACTGGCAAGTTGGGAGAGCGCGTTGCGGACCTTAGGATCGGGGCTGCCGGCATTCCGGAGAACGAGGACGGTCTCAGCGCGGTTGTCTGGGCCGAGTAGGCGTCCGCTTGTTGATCATTGGGACTTTTTGTATATACAATAACTTTCGTATAAATTATAGGGTTGCGCAGGCTGATTGTGATTCCATAATGACGCGTTCGTCTGCGATGGAGGTGTGAAGAGGGAAGAGCGCTGGAAGCTTGAGTGTTGCCAAGACGCTAACCCGGGTGCCATTTCCTTGCGCGTCAAGACTCATACCCACGCTTCCTTGTGCATCCAGAACACGTCTCACTAGCTGCCAAATACGACTCTGTTATCAGTTTCTTCACGAAGACAATCAAAAATTTCCAGTACTTACTCGCAATACCAGCCTTTAACAACATCTCATCGAAGGTCCAGTCACACCTGCCGTCCATCAACATGAAGACTGATAACTACCTCAACCTCTGCCTCGAGCAGGCCGCTAAGTCGCCTTTGCGCTACCGACATGGAGCCATCATAGTTCGTGGCGGTAAAGTCATCGGTCAGGGTTACAATGATCATCGCTCTGGCTTTGACGGTGGTGCCCTGAAGACTGGGCGCCTTCCACTGCGTTCCTCGATTAAGCGAGAGTTAGGTAAACCTGAGAGTCATATGAATAAGACGTTTACGCCGTTTGAAAGCATGGGCGGTGGAGGAAAGCTCGCCAACACTCCGTTATCTATGCATAGCGAGATGATGGCGATTCACTCTGCTCTCTCGGCTTCCAGCACGCTGGCTTCTAGCGCGGTGTCCTCCGAAAAACCGTGCTTTAAACTATCGGGTGATTCTAAACGAAAGTCACGACTACCAAGGGAAGCAATCAACTCGTACGTCAAGGCCATCTGCGAGGTCGCACTGGCCCAGTCCACCGCCGCCTCTGGCAGTGCCCAGTCCGGTGTTCAAGAGTGGCGATTTGAATCCTCTGCATCTGGACCGCGCGAGACTGAATCTTGTGTTTCACGACCAGGAGAAGAACGAGAACGTGGTCTTATCGGAAGCGAACAGTACGGAGAAACACCGCCTGAAGAACGGGAAGAATCATCATCATCACAAGCTTGGCAACAAGTCCAACAATGGACAACACAAACACAGTGGTCGACAACATGCGCGTAAGCAGACCATCGTAGCTCCATGCTATAATCAGTCTTCAGCGTCGAGCGCTTCTGAAGTTTCTTCGTCGCCGGAAGTGTCATCCAATAATCGTGATAAAGCAGGAAAGGTGCGTCGTCCAAGCACTGTTATTACATATGCTGACGGTCACAGAATGGAAGACAGAATCTCCCAACTGCCAGGAGTCAGCCAATGCTCATGCCGAAGGGACAGACTGGACAGAGTTCTCGCAATGTCAAAGACAGGACCAAGAGCCCACGTTTGAACGGAGCCGATCTGTACGTCGTAAGACTGGGCTGGCAATGTGCGCCGAAGGTGTACTGCGAAGAGCCAGGCGAAGACGCCGCGACGATACCTCCATCGCGCCCTGCCACAGGTTCATTGCACGACGAGCTCACCAGTCCAGAGCCGGCGAGGCCAGCACGTACCAAGCACCCGCCGCCACCAACAAAAGACGAGAAGCGACCGACCGTCCTGGCTCCCCGACCCTGCTACCGATGCATATCCTACATGGCGTCTGTGGGCATCAAACGCGTTTTCTGGACCGATGACAAAGGAGGCTGGGAGAGCGCAAAGATGCGTGATCTGGTCGATGCGCTTGACAACATGGGGTCACAGTCGCCTGCTGATGCGTCGGTGGCACTTAACAGCGTCTTCGTCACAAAGCACGAAGTGCTGATGCTGCGCAGGATCATGGGAGACAGCTGAACCCGGATGTATCGTATACTATGACGACAGAATGCAGCATTAAGAGCCTCATGTGTAACCTTCAGTGCGTTTGTTCAGGCAGTAAACATACCAATATTACCTCTAGCACTATGATCACGGTGAGAGAAGGACAAATAGACTTGCAGGTACTTTCCTAATAAGGCTATGCGGTGAGAGATTTCGCCACTGGGACCGTTTGCACGGGAGACGCCAGGGTGACTACATGCTGGTATCGTGCAGAGCCTCTCTCTATATAAAGCACACGTCTCCCTCACCAAGATTCTCACAACACAACACAACACAACACAACACAACACGACTCAGTACAGATCAATTTCAGCACGATGGTCCACCACATCCAGTTTGTCGATAGCTTTGCCGACCTTCCTTCCACTGCTCCAGCCAATCACCCCCACATCATCGATCTTACTACCTTCAAGGAGAACGACGGCGAGGTCATCACCGACATCAAGATCCAAGACGCCATCGTTACAACTCTTCATCAAGTCTCCAAGAAAACTCTCACCAAGTTCTTCCATCCTACCAAGGCCTTCCACATGGACTTTGAATCTAAGACCGATCGCTACTACAATCGTATCATTATCAAGAAGAAAGGCAACGAAGTTCTGGTAAGTGACAGTTGGGGAAAGCGTATAGCAATCCATGACACTAACGAAACTACTCATAGGTAGGCCAGTACGCCAAAGTTCAGGGTTGGCTGGAGTTCGATAATCTCCTCCGTTGCTCTATTGATGCGACCGGAGCCTGGAAGATCACCTACGCAGCCTACCGCGACTACTTCTCCGTCGAAATGATCGGCTTCTTCACCTGGGAGAATGTCTGGGCAGGAAACACGGTCAATGTCGGTGGTCACTTGGCGGCTCTCCGTTTCGAGACTACTGAAGGCCAGCCGGAGCGGGCAATGCTGGCCACGCAAGTTGCTGATCACCTGTTGGCGGGTCAGTACTGGGACTCTAAGCGCTGGACCAGGGAGTTTCACTGGGAGGAGTAAGTCATACTGTGATCAGTCAAGCGAGGAAGCGGGAAGGATACTATGCTGGACTTCTAGATAGTGCGAGCTTCTCCTGGCTTTTACATGTCTCCAGATTCTCATATGTCACTGGAATACTTTGAAATTCATCTTCATGATGTGTCTTCTTCTTCAACTCTCATCTACTGACCCAGTCCAAACTACTGAAGGAGATTTAATGAACGAGCACGATTACTTCGCCTCTAGTCCTGAGAATACATCTGCCCATTTCGCACCGCTTACTAATTTCCCAGTCAACGCGCCAAACATCAGATTTCTCTCTATGATTGGGCAGAAGTGGAGTATCCTCGTTCACCTTGACTTGCGCGCACTGTCACCGCCGTTTGCTTCTCCTCTCGTGGTCCAAGCTTTTGGTATGAAATCAAAACAACTTTGGACCAAGTCTTGCTTCCCACACAACACACATCAACCTCACAAGAATCCATTGCCAACAACGAGATGGCAACCGTTCCGAACCCTGATGGCGGCACTCCCAAGCCTCCCAGCACAACCATCTACACCAAACCCGATTTCCTCACCGCGCCGTTTCTCAAGGTCTACGAGCGACTGCCCGCGCACTTACCTTCAAGTCATGCGCATATCATCAAGGTCGGCCCCCTCAGGGAGGCCCTGTTCGACGGCGAAGAACAGTACGATCTCAAAATTCAAGATGCAGTGGCCACTATGTTGTTCAAGATCTCGAAGGACACCCTAGAAACATTCCTCAGCGGCGGCACCGACTCTTTCAAGCTCGTTCAATCGTTTGAAGGACGATCCAAGATGCAGCTCATTGTTTGGAAGCAGAGAACTCAAGTTTTGGTACGTGACCCAAACGAAACAGGGTGTACCTCATTATGACACATACCTATACTTACATCGTCCTCACGCTTCAGGTTGGCCAGTTCATCGAGTATGAGAAAGAGGATTGTCTAGAATGGGACAACCTCGTTTGTTGCACTATCAACTACGACGGATCTTGGAGTCTCGACTCTGCCAGCTTCGGCAGGTATACTAGGCGAGAGCATGAGCACGCATGGTCTGAGACGTTCATCAGGGCCGGCATCAACCGAGAGTTGATCGCCGGTGACAAGAAACAGATGGCAGAGTATGCAGGTATTCTGAGCGAGTATATCATCGTCAACGAGTGCTGGAGCGCTGATGCAGGCTCTAAATGGGACATCGAGACCGCCGAGGCTGACTGAAGCATCCTCATATCTGTGTGGGCAGCAGTCTCTGCACACACACTCCTTCAACATCTTGAAATGGAGGAAACGTGGAGTTACTGATTATCCAAGAGAAACTTCTCACCTACTGCTAGAGTAGTCAATATACATCATGACCTTACTGTCGCAAAACTGTCAATAACTTTTCCGTGACGCTAAAGGACAACAACCTGTTCTTAGTCTGAACAATGACTTTGTTCCTCGCAACAAAAGTCTCTGAGACTACGTTCCGTTTACGATGTTCTTTCATCTTACATACCCTTTGTCGACGTCTGCCCAAACTGTGGTAGCAGGCTCACTCACTTCCTCAATACTCCAAGATCCTAGTAGTACAGCTTGCAGGACATCGAAAATCGAGGAATAATGCTTTCAAATCGCCCTCAAGCGGCTAAGAACATGTTAGATAGTAGATATGAGTTATTGTTCTCACCGTCGCGCCTTCCTCCGGCTCTCACCGACCATGCCCGCTAGCGCTACTTGTGTGACCCGCATGGCAAACGCCTACACGCTTCACATAGGGCAGCTCTTCACCCATCATCTTTCATCGCTCCTCGTCAGACTTCATGCTCATCACTCCTCTCTCTTGGATCTCATCGCTCACCAGAAGCTAGCGTGCCCAACTGTTGTACTCATATATCTTGTACCATGCCGGTAACTACGAGATTCAGACGCTTGCAGCTACAACATTCTAACATTGACACCAATCTCGAGAGATACACACGACACCACGCGCAACCTATCGGCCGTACCGCTGCAATGACTAGCCATATCGACAGCACTCCTATGGAAATCGACACCGACAGCAGCGGTCTTCCGTCCCCTGCTGGTACTGACATTCAACCCGATTCGCCGGGCAAGAGCGACTCTGGAAGAAGCGACAGCAGCACTCTTTCCTACACGAATGACTTCGAAACCCTACCTTCAAGTGGCCCACCCAGTCATGCTCACATTATCGATCTTGCCGAGTATGCTGCGACAATGAAAGAAGACGGCGCACTGAAGCTCCAAGATGCCGTTGTCACCGCTCTGTACAACATTTCGCCGGCGACGCTCAAGTCATTCGTTAACCCCACGGTCAACACCTTCAAGACTGTATTCGGTAAGAAGGACGTTCAGCTCGTCGTGTGGCGCAAGGGTCTTGAAGTCTTCGTAGGTCATCACATACCCTCCAAGCAGACGATCGCTAACACCCCTCTAGATCGGCACATTCGAGCATCATACTTCTATGAAAGCCTACCGTTTCGAGCACGTCGCCGGCTTTCTCATTGGCTACGACGGGTCCTGGCACCTGAAAGTTACGGCAAGCAACGCCTACTCCGCTCCAAAGTGGCCAGATGTCTGGGCTGGAAAGTTCGAGTGCCACGGTGGTGTTGCTAAGATGACCATCGAGACCGAAGAGATGGAGATGGCAAAGCGCGCCTCGGCATTGGCCAGTGCGATGATCGGTGGCAGGTACTGGGAGTTAAAGACCGATGTAAAACTGACTTAATGCGAGGCTGGCATCGTTGAGCGGGATCAGTCGGAGTTGCTTGGAAGGATATAATCTGGGATCTATTTGGCGCGCAGAGTATGCGATGTTTCTGTCGCCTGGAGGCCTCGTGAGAAGGTAGCGAATGGCTACGGTATTGCCACGACGGAGATACTGTGAAACATATGAGCTTCAATCCTAGATAGTCAGCTCGAGCGATCTTAATTGAAGGACGGAGTTTAATGAAGAATGATACACATACCAATGATCCCTTCTCTGCTTTTGATAATGTGCTGGAGCCCTTCTTCACATCTTCTGTGCCAAACCTTCATCCACATTTTTTGCAAGTCCTCTAATCGCACCTTTACCGCTCCAACCACCTCTCCACACATCCAGCAGTCAGTCAACCCCCAGACACCACTCTCATATACCAGATCCATACCATACCATCCCTCCAACCCCCCACATCTCCATCAAACCTCCCATCCCAAGAGCCCATAGTCCAACGGTAAGACACCCACATCTCAAACCGCGCAAGGCTGCCATCGCATCGTCTCAGCGTGCGAACGAACAAGGCTGAGAAACCGTCTGAGCTTTCGCCAAGTTGTGTTTCGAATCCGTGGGCAGCCTTGCCGAAATTGTGGGGGATCCGCGTTCAAGTCGCGGTGGGCTCATTCATTCCTTTTCTTTCTTTTTTTGCTGGGGTATAGTCGGGTGGTGGTGTCTTTTTTATGCTTGGGTGGTCCAAATAGGTTGGTGATAGATAGAGGCGGTGGAGTGAGATGCTCCCTGCGAACATCGACCGCTCCAAGAGCCTACGCATACAATTAGCAGTCATCTTCTAAAATCCCTTTCCCTTATGTATCAGACCCATGACTCTGTACTATCCATGTCCTCCAACTCACCCCTCTCCCATCAAAGCACCAAGAGCCTATGGTCCAATGGAAAGACACCCGCATCTCAACGAGCTGGCTCGCCAGCGCATCGTCTCAGCGTGCGCGAAAATAAAGTTGAGAACCGAGTTCAGGATCCCGTCAAGTGAAAGTGACCGGCTTGTCTGGTACAAATAAGATAGGCACAAAGCCAGCTCAGCATTGCGGGAGATCCGCGTTCAAATCGCGGTGGGCTCGATTACCTTTTGCTACACCTTTGTATTATTTGCTGTGGTTTACCTTTTTTGCTGTCAAGGAGGGATAGATAGGAGCGGTGGCGTGGCGGGCGAGTGAGTTCGTCGACGGGGGTGTCCTACTTAGCGTTCAATCTAACAAGAACCATCAAAGAGTGGGCAGCAATGAGATTCATTGTATCCAACGACAGTACCTAAAAATAACATGCAAAGTCGCGAGCGTATCCAATCCGCTCAAACGATTAATGTGGTGTATCCAACAGAATGTCTATCCCAAACTCCACTCATGAACGCCGGTCGTCTAATGCATATGCCAATGCAAGTAAGCAAGCTCAATGCGTGTAATCAACGAATCACCAACTCCCAGGTCCAAAGGTTTCGCCTTTGGGAACTTCTTTGTATGGGCAGGCTTGCCAGTCACAACCCTATCGATGATGTTAGCTTTTGTATCCAATGAAGCCCAGGTTGTATGTGGCTGACTTACCTGTTTGTAAACCTCCGTACCCCACCACTTGAAGTTACTCATCCAGCCCGGGTACACAATGCCAAAGAAGATAACGACAACACCAAACGCGAGCCCAGAGTCCAAGGCCGCGCTAAGCATCATGTTGTACTTCTTCCACCACGCGTTCCTCCGGTTGCGGATCTCATAGTTGAAGATGTAGCACACAATCGCCCAAACGGAGAAGTTGAGTCCGGTGGCTGGTGGAATCCAGCTCAAGCTACCAAACACCACGGCGAGGTTGACTTTACTGAGAATGGACTTGCGGCTGCCGCGGGCGAGGTACCAGAGTATGACGGGTGCGATGGCGCCGATGGGGAAGGCCCAGATCAAGTGTTGGTAGAGTGCGCCAGGACCGAAGAACTTTCCGGGGCCGACAACACCCCAGAGGATACTTCCGTTGAAGTGCACGCGGGCGATAGGGCAGTTGAAGCCGTTGATGGCCGAGGGTGTGCAGATACCGGGGATGTTGTTCAGCATCCAGTTAAGAACGCCGATTTGTGTTAGACTGGAGATGATGGTGACGGAGAGTTGGAGCTTGAAGAGGATTCTAGGTGGGATCTTCATGTAGTGGCCGAGCTTGAGATCGGAAGCAAACTTGAGGCCTTGGGTTGCTGAGATGTAGCCGAAGGTTGTAAAGACCATGTTTGCGACGGGTCGACCGGGGAATACAACACCGCAGATCAGTTGGCAGATGAGGTAGATGCTGCTTTGTTGGTTTGTAATGGCCATGACGATGCCGATGGGAACGAAGAGGACTGCGCCGATGCCAAGTGCTAGCAAGAGGCCGTACCAGGGTAGATGGACGGGGTAGTACTCGACGACGAACATGCCAACTGCGGCCATACTGATGCCAGTCAAAAGGTACCAAGTTATCGGCACGTCCTCGTATTTGCGCATGAGTCGATTGTGCACATCTTCTGCAGATAGCAAGTCTTCCACGTCTGGATCTGAAGTCGTACTGGGCCTGTGTCGCAACATTGCAGGGGAAGTTGGTTGGCTGTTGTTGTCGGTACCATTCACAAGTGGCTGGTAGTCAGCTGCTGATTCCTTCCGGATCTCAGCCCAAGAGCGACGCCATTGCCTCCAGATATCCTTCCCGTACCAAAGGCCAGTGTGCGAAAGCAGAGCTGTAAGACCGGCGAACTGTAGGGCGTAGCTCAATACGTATGTAATCGGGAGGTAGACGCGGCTGTATTGCTTGTACGCTTCTTCGTCAAAGAGGAAGTTCTCGGTCAAGATCTTGCTGACGTCGTACGGCTTGCCGCGATTATCCCATACGGCGGATGATAAGATGGGCATGTAGGATGAGTAGAGGACGTTCTTGTAGTCTAAGAGCTGTTAGCACAAGTAGTCAAACCTCCTGAACTACTTACACATGATTGGCGCTGCAATCCACATCACGCCTACGAGGCCTCCAAGAATGTTCATAGCAGCCCAGAATGGCGTAATCAACGGGGAGCCGATGTATGCGATTTGCGCCCAATCGAAAGTCACTGGAAACAATCCAAGACCAGATGAGATTCCGAACTGCTCAGGTCAGCTCTCTGTCCATTCAGACAAGCAACAAACGTACCAAGTTGGCAACAACGACGCTCTTTGGCGCGAACCAAGTGATGACATTGAAGTAACTCAATGCCGGGAATAGGAGACCAGGTAGGAAGTAGAATGCAACGGATCCCATGAATATGCGCGAGAAGAACTTGCGTGGAGCGATGGTCCAGCCATCGGCAGGCTTGTTCTCATCTTTATGTAACGCGGTGAACATGGCGGTTGATACCAGTGTGCTCGGCCAGATCATGCCGCTGGGTCGGACCAGGTAACGTCTGGTGATACCGGCGAGGGAGTAGCCAAGTATTTGTGTGGAGAGGATGAGCAATACT